CAAAGATCAAAGTAACCTCAAAGTTTCAAGCAACAATGTTGCCCCGTGTATGGTGGCCTTTAGAAGTATTCACCCCCAAACAAAATGGCTGCCATGACTTTTGCAGCCTTGCTATTACAATTGATCCTAGCTGCATTGTACCTTGAACACCACATCTGTCATACTCAATTTAATGGAACATACATGTACTTATGAAGAACTATGGGCAAACAATTAATATTCATAAGATACAGCGTTTCTGAAAAAAATAGAGAATTCTCCCTTTGTGATTTCTTTGAAATGCCCTGTATATAGCACAGGGTCTTTGGCCTAATTTTTGAACAACTTAACAATCCACTGTAGATCCATTATCACTGACAAGAAGCTGCATGAACACTATTCCAAAATCCTGTGTGAAACCCTGAACTGATAACTTAAGAATAAGCAGATTCTACTTATCACTTTATTAGTACAATTAATATTATCTTTATTTATAATTTTTAGTATTACACCAAATTTGATTGATGCATCAGTTCCTCCAGTAGCTGCTTCATCCTCTACTGGTACTTCCTCTATGGTTGTTGTTGATCATACAAAACCAGTTACTTCTGTACAAATACGATTAGCAGATGGACAAAGGTATACGTGTATAATCTACACTACATGTATATGTACAGTATACATGTACTAATACACATTGATTCATTTTACTTTATTTTCAGATTAGTTGGCAAATTCAATCACACTCACACTGTTGCTGATATCAGGCAGTTCATTACAGAGTATCCTCATACTATATTACATGTGCATGTACATGTACATTAGAACTGATTATTTATGTTCTTGGATACTTTTATAATTAACATGTTATTGCATGTGTATGTGTGTTAGTGTATGATAGTGGTGGTCTGATAATGATACATGTATATTTATGTTTTGTATCAAAATTGAGCTTGGGAATAAGTATATGTACACCATATATAAGGGATTGGGAAAAGTTACAAAAGTGTGGAATTTTCTTCTAGCTATTATTGACAAGGCTGGTGTTTTTAAAAGCTCAAAAAATTTTAATTGGAGTCTGCCTTCTAGTCACTCAAATTAGTATCCCATTGCTGTAATATAATTTTGTTGTGAAACTGTTTTCATTCACGTTCACTAGTGTATGTGTAGTTATTGTCCTTAATTTGAATTTTAGTTCACATCCTGAAATGAAGAATAAAAATTTTGTTCTCCTCACAACATTTCCTAATAGAACACTAAGTGAAGTCTCACTCTCTCTAGCTGAAGCAAATCTACTTAATGCTGTTGTGGTCCAAAGGTTCACTTAATTATAAACTATTACTCAACTTTAAACTTATTATTATTACCATTATTATTAAAACAAAGTTAATTTCTAATGTTCTTGATTAAGTGTTGCAGTTAGTAGTTTTTTCCTAACTAGAACAATAATAAGTGTTACATTAGGTACTCAACACTTAAATGTGATGAAGATAGAGTTAATGAGGATCATTTTTTGTAGTGTTAATGTCTTTAAATATAAAGTATCAATCTTTTAGTACAATTATCATTACACTTATTAGAAGTCTTGTGTCTCACAAGTGGCCTGTCAATGAGATGGATATGCATGACTAACGGGTTGAAAAAGGGCCTCCTCACAGGATGGCCCTTTACACTACTAGACACGTACCACATGTATACACATACTAGGGTAGATCTAATGATTTAAATTGCTGTACTGCATGTATCTAATGGGGCAAACGCATGATTTGACTATTAGTTGTATAAAAATAAAAACTTTAAAATTGAAAGAATTAACATAAATATGAAACAATAACGATTATTATTAATTATTTTATGTATAATAATAATAAATAAAGGGGAAAGAGAAGGAAGTGTATGTAAGTAAAAACAGAAAAATAAGTAATAATAATAATAAAATAACAAACTTGATTGTTATTGTGTAGGTAATCGCTTTACTTCAGTAGCAACATTGTCCCCAAATCCTCAAGTGCTCAGTTCTATCAGCTTTTCCCTTGTAGCAGTACCAGTCTTTAACCAGTGAATTATCATGTCTTTACGGGATACATCTATTTGATAGAAACTTTTAAAATGAATTAACTTTAATTCTTCATTTTTCATTCCAAGATATAATCCTAGAGTCTCCCATTCGTTGACTATCTTATTGATAGCTTGCAGTATAACAGGAGCATGAGACTCATCTGTAAATACACACATTATTAATAATAATACTAACATTATTACTAACTTAATACTGAGCCTTCTGGTAAAAGATTGTCAATAGGAACAACTGACAGAGCAACCGGATCAAAAGATAATAAATAGAATAGAAATAAACATACAAAAGTAGCAACATAAATGCTAAAAAACTTAACTAATAACCAGCAAACTTTGTCTCTCATCAGTTAATGCAATGGGTTGAAAATCTCTCAATACTGCACCTGATCTCATGAGGGTTTCTCTTGTGTGTATGATACTTTGATAGGATGAGGATTCCTATTAGTCTCACATCTTCTGTGCTTCTGGTGAAAATATGTCACAGCAGATATTGCTAGTGTCTTCTCATCGTAGGCTAATGCAGCAGCACTGGCTGATAAACCCTCTAGGATCACTGAACAAAAAACAGAGCAATCTTTGTAGTTTCTAGTAAAGTATATACTTTCATAAATTTATATTCATCAACAAATATGACAGACCCAAATAGATCCTCAGAGTAAAACTCGACAGCATGTCAAAGCTGCTTTGGAAAGAATGGAGACTTACTGTCAATAAATAAGCAAGGCCTCTCCTCTCAACTTAACAAAGAAACAATCAATGTTCAAAACAAACTCTAAAATAAAAATCAAAAAAGAGAAAGAGATGAAACAATACACACATATACACTGTCAGTGTATTACCTGTAGCCTAGTTTACTGTTGAATGAGACTAGTGGGTCGCAGGTTTTAGTGAAGGCCTCTTTCTGTTTTTGGTGAAAAACAATTGGTAGAAAATAACGAGGTTGACCAGTAGAGGAAGTAATAAAAGAGATCAAGCAAAGGTACTTTAGTAAGCAAAGTAGTTTGGATTTTGAGAACATGCAGATTAGAAATGAAAGTCAGTCCAATTAAGATTATCCAGTAGGGACTCATCAAAAACTTTGTCTCTTTTTAGCTCAAGTTGAGTATCGGGAGACGAACTGACTTCATCAGGTAATAACTGCTGTATATCATCCACAAATGATAGTCTGACAATATCAGAGAGAAATTCTACTACAAACTGAAGATTAATGAAGACAACATGATGGAGGATACTGGAGTAGTAGATGCAGAGAGTGAATGAATCAAGATACACATGTATTGTCATTAGCAGCTAAAATATACCATGTATGTGAAAATTTTCAAGGGGGTAAATTTTCACAAATTTCACAAAACAGGAGTCATTCGTGAAATTAAAACACACGAAAATTAATTTTAAATCTCCACTTTATTACAACATGGTGGTACTTTAAAATAATTCGTGAAAATTTGGCCTCGCAAAATTTTGCAAATTTATATCATTTGCAAGAATTTATTCCCTGAAAATTTCCACGTAGAGGGTAATCAAAGAATTATTCACAGCCTAGTTTGTAAATGTACACTCATGAGTACAGGCTTGTTCAATTTAGCCTATTATCATCAAAACCTGCTCAGGATTTATCACTTTCGATCCTCCAGTTTATCATACATACATGCACAAAAACAGAAGAGTAGTTACTTAGATCATTTTTGTACTGCACTGTACTACACAGTATATAACATTACAAAATAAAATACATTACCTCAATGTACTCTTAAGATGGTCGCAGTATCACTATGGCCTTCTTGTTTAGCCCAACCAAAAGCAGTCTTACCAACCTATCAAGGTATGTAATAATGTAAATGTAATACTCTTGGTGTAGTAGAAGAGAAGGAGTGTGACAGTGAAACACCCACACTTTAAACTAATTAGATTTTTTCCCACTACATATATCTTTGTCTAGCGGATACCGTATAGCGGGATTTATTGACAAGTTAAAAATTTGACGAAAACAGTAAATTTCCCCACTTGGCAAGTTTTAATTTGATGAATAGAGCCCTTTGTGTACATGTGGCACAAAGTACAAAATTTTTGACAGCTATAAAATTTGACGTTTTATTTCAAACCATCAACTCGTCAAAATAAAACCACCGTCAATAAATCCTGCTATACAGTGTACTATTTTAAAAACAAAATGGCGACTACTAGTCTGCTAGACTTAAAAGAACATCCATCACTGTGGCCTCTATAGTATCTCCAGATTGACTAGTTACATGTAGTATTTAGTCATCAAATGCTACCTGTAGCTAACACTGGCTACTTTGTGGTGAGGCTAAAATTGACTACTGTGGCTGCAAGCAATACATAATAAGCAAGTAATTTGTGCACTATCTGCAATCAGGTTCCAATTAAAGCAGCAATGAGCCTGGAGACTAGGTAAATAACAGCAATAACTTACTGTGTGATGACTAGTCTACATGTAGTTGTGCTTTATGAAGCTAGTTGCCAGTGGAATCACAACCATACTATCTGCACCAAGCTAACAAAGGTAAAAATAAGCCTTTTCTCTTTCCAGTTTACTTCTATCTCACCAGAGATAGCACATGTACCTGTACATGTATCTCTGCTCTCTTCTAAAATAGTACTTGTAGATGTATATCTGCTAGACAGAGATAGCAGCAAAAAAATTAAAAAAAGTATGAGCGTTTCACACTCCTTTTCTACTGGACTACACTCATCATGGACTACTGCCGCAGTAGGTAAGTGATATACATGTACATATACATGTACAATGTACATGTAATTACATCAATTTGAGTGGGTGGATCACACTATATACATGTACATGTACATGCATGCTTAGCATAACTACATTCTAAGTACATGTATGTCTTCCACACCAAAGAAAATTTCAATGTCCACTGGCCTCTTGTAAGTACATGTACAACATGTATATCTGACAATAAGTATACTAATATACATGTAACAGCAACAAGTATTGTACTAAGTAAAAATCATAATTATTTTTGTGTTTCAAAATTTTTGAGAAGTTCCAAAAAAAATAAAATTTCACTTTTCTACACGTCTTACTGTTTAATTGATATTAAATTTTATTAGGGCATAAAAATTCCCGGCTATACTGTAATTGGTAATATAAAATAATTATTAATTCTTTACTAAACATGCTTTCCATCAAAGTGATACAGTACAGTACATTAAGCTATACATGTACATGTACACACACTATATGAGATACACATGTATACAGCACCTGCGGTTACTTTGATATACCAGCTCAAAAGGATATACTGTACATGTACATGTAAAATCACTATTGGAATATAATTAATGATCATACTTACAATAGAAGAGACAGCAATATATGCTCCTTTTTGAAGGTGCACTGTCACTACCTGTGTGCTTCCAAAATAAGCAGCTAAAGTGAGAGGAGTTTCTTCAGCCTACATGTACATTGTACATGTACATGTATAAAGGATAAAGACACTCACACACTATATTCATTAGTCAAGTGGCATATCATCTTGTGAACTGTAGTAGCTATAGGTAATGCAATAATTATAATGTTAATGTTTTAAACACAAAGTTACCTGTAAAAAATTAATTAAAAAAATAGACTTGGATGTGTAAGATAAATGAAAATTTATTAATTCTTATACAGAAACACAAAAAGCTTCAATCACACTTGAGGTCAGGTCATCAAAGCATGCATGTACAGAAGTATGGACCACTAACAAGAGGCTTACATGCACCTTTATTTATAAAATTCTGTCTAATTCTCTCTCATTTGAGACAGTTTTTTTAAGCTGTATATGTACTCACACCATATCTTAATCCTACATGTAGATCAACCACTGAAACCAAAAATGCTAAAAAATTACATCTTTACATGTACATTACTACATTACATGTACATGTACATGTACAACTCACATCATCTCTAGACTCAATATGAGCACCATTCTCCAATAACCACTAGATAGCATCAATCTTATCATTGGAAGCTGCTCCATGTAATGGAGTCCATACAGTTACTCTATGAAAAAGAAATACAACAAATAAAGTACATATACATGTACATACAAAAGTCAATTTTATTACACCATTATTACACTGTTCTTGTCTACCATTGGCAAATCCTTGTGAATGAGATACATGATATTCATTGACTTGTTAATGATAATCACTTTATACTGTAAATCAAAAAATTATTTTGGCTGCCATGATGGAGGTATATATACATGCACTTTGTACAGTATTCAATGGGGAAGAGGTCATATTTAACTTTTTTTTCAGCAGAACAACGGAGATGGATCCAGAGAGAAAAGATTCCAACCTTAATCTCCATTTCTGTACCACTGCAAAAACTAGAAGCCTCTAACTAACGTGGAAAAGCACATAAGGCAGATTTTAGCCCAAGATGGCAGCCAAGAAATTATTTTGCTTTTTATGGTATCCCAATGAATACATATATCATTAATCTAGTTCTGGTGGATAATTTGAATTTTAAAGTATTTTCAACATAATTATGTGCAAATATTTATAATTCAATGACTGAATATTATACATTTGACAGTACCTGCATAAAATTTAGCTACAGTTTCTTGCAAGTAGTAAAGGACAATCTAATAGCTAGAACAGACTTCTCTTTTAGTCAAATTTACTCACTACCAATGATAAAATGTGCAATGGCAGGTCTTGTGTGATTTGATCTTATAGTTAAGTATAGAATATATCCTATGTATCATATCTTCTTGGTCTCTATCAGTAATATGAGACCCTCATCCCTTGATACTTCCCTTGGGAAGATATTTTGAGACTCGGGTCTCATTTACATGTTGTACTGATATAGACCATGAAGGTATGGCATATACATGTACATTACATACATGTACACATAACTACTACATGTATGTATTTTATACCTAACATTGTTATGCTGTGTAGAAATGTATAAAAGACATTGCTTCCTGATAAAGTGCATGTCTACCATAAATAAACCCTCAGAATCATATCAATGATGCCTATAAGTAAGCTAATGCAATAAAGATAATAAGGACTGATCCTAGCATAAACACACACCACCAGAAAGAAGGGACTGTGAGTCTCATCAATAGGATACTGTGTTTGAGGAAAATACAATGTAAATGTACAGTATTCCCTTATAAAAATGGCTATACTCCCAATTAACGCCCATATGTACAAATATCGATAATAAATGCCCATGCTTGCCAGATGCCTATGCCATATACCCACTCTGCCCATGTGGTTACTGGCACACACTACAGGCAACATACATGTAGCAGATATATAGTACACTGCAGCTGAGAAGGAAGCTCATAGAAGAATACTCTTTAGCAAAGAATTTATCCTCGTATACATGTACATGTACATGTTGTAAAACCTATTTCATATAAACACCCAGCAAAAGGGTCTCTAAAGAATAGATGCCTAGATGCTTCAATGAGGAAATACGGCAATTACACAATATTAATTAATAAACTGATTTATAACTAAACTACATGCAGGTACATGTACCTTTACATTATACAAGTCATATATGTACCAATAGACTGTATTTCCTTAAATAAAAGTAGTGTTGTTCTAGTATTTTGGTACTAGAACTAAAATTAATACCAGTACCACTTTTTACATTTTAGTTCTAGTGCAAATACTAGAACTGGACTAGAACTAAAAATTTTTCACCCATTGTACTAGAACTAAAACTAAAACTAAAACATTTAATGTCTGAGTAGTGGAGCTAAAACTAAAACGTTGATAAACTGAGTACCAGAACTATATAACTAGAACTAAAACGAATAAATACAAAGTACTAGAACTATACCTAGAATAGATACAAAGAACTAGAACTAGAACTAGAGCTAAAATGAAAAGAAAGAACTAGAACTAGAGATCTTAATTTGAGGTGACATGTGTAATGAAAACATATAAATAGAAACAATAGTACAAATACATGCAGATAGTGTATATGTGCACGTGGCCATAGATCTATGTGATGAGGTGGTGCTGTGACTGCTGTGTTCTCTTACTCTGCTGTCTACACTGACCTTACTGCTCTTGCGTTACTATCAATCTCTCACTTCACATAAGTAGATTTGTGTAACTAGACTATTCTGTACAGCAACCATACTAAAAACTAGAACTAATATAGATACCATGCATGTACTAAAGCTAGAACTAAAATACTAGAGTTATTGTACGAAAACTGAAACTAAAACTAAAAGTATTAGAGCTTTTGTACTAGAACTGGAACTAAAAATAAAATTATTATAGCCACTGTACTAGAACTGGAACTAGAACTAAAATTATTATGGCTAATGTACTAGAACTGGAACTATAGAACTAAAATTATTAGAGCTACTGTACTAAAACTAAAACTAGAACTAAAATTATTAGAGCTACTGTACTAAAACTAAAACTAGAACTAAAATTATTAGAGCTACTGTACTAAAACTAAAACTAGAACTAAAATTATTAGAGCTACTGTACTAAAACTAAAACTAGAACTAAAATTATTCGAGCTACTGCACTAGAACTATAACTAGAACTAAAATTACTGTGCTAGAACTAGAACTAATATTATTAGAATTATTATGCTAGAACTAGAACTAAAATAAGACATTTAAACTAGAACAATACTAAATAAAAGCCCAGGCGTAAATGGTATTTGGATCTCGAAAAAATACCATATAGCTAGAAATTTCTGTGGCCCAAAATTTTTGCAAATTTTGCGAATTTGAACAAAATTGCTAAAATTAAATCCTCAAAAAAAGGTAAATTAAAAGGTGTGGCTCGCCGCACCTTTTCTCAGTGTAATTATAGTGAAGCACATGGCGTGTTCTTGGCACTATTCCAGTACAATTTGTACAGCTTAAATCTAAAAATTGTCTCAAATGAGAGAGAATTAGACAGAATTTCATAAATAAAGGTGCATGTAAGCCTTTTGTGAGTGGCCCATACTTCTCTACATGTATGCTTTGATGACCTGACCTCAAGTGTGACTAAAGCTTTTTTGTGTTTCTAATAAATTTTCATTACTCATCCAAGTCTATTTTTTTAATTAATTTTTTCAGGTGACTTTGTGTTCAACACATTAACATTATTATTATGGTATTAGCTACTGCAGTTCACAAGATGATATGACACTTGACTGATGAGTATTTCTCTATGATTCTGACAGAAAATTCTTGAGTTATGACCCTTTCAAAATATTAGCCATTTCTGAAAAATACCATTGGCTATATCAACCATCAATTACATGATGAACACTTAGCTGATCATTCATAGTCACTATTATTAATTATTATTAAAAATAAACATAACAGGAAACTAACACTATAAGCAACACTACAAATAATTATAGTAAGCAGCACTAATTAATAGCAGTATTACGTATAAATTATCCCCTCAGCTAACTTTGTTTAGTTATTTTTAAAATCAGTAGTAACTGTTTCTTGTGTTGAAGAAGAAATTAAAACTTTTGGTTTTATCTTGCAGTCTTCTCCAGTCATAGCATTTTTTCTATTATCAGTATCATACACTTTATGCTTGGACAGGAACAATACAATGAAGACACGAGGGGCAAACAAGCACAGCAACACTGCCATGGCACTCATCTGAATGGTGAATGATACCACAGCAGTTTGAAACTTGTCAGCTGTATTAAGATAAGTAAAGATAAATGCTATCCACATTAGACCAAGAGAAAACGTGGAAAATGCAACGTATTTCGATTCGTTAAAGTTTTGTGGGAATCTTATTGTTAAGATGGCAAGTGCATTGCTAGCAATAAGGAGAATACTGTAATAGACCATGAGGATAGCAATCATTGCTGTATGGGGACTATTGCACTGGATTACAAGTGATGGAAAGTCGTTTTGATTCTCTTCGTTATTTACAATACTCTTCTTGACTTTTGGATAAGAGGCAACCAATGATATCAGCACCAGGATCATCTGTATACCCACCAGTATAAATGTGAATAATATTTGATATTTGGGAGAAATAAACTTTGGTCTCTTAGTCACTGTTTTCTGCATAAATATACGAGATATCCTCACTAGTTTCACGAGCAGTGCACTTAGGATTATTGAGAAACAGAACCACAGTCCAGCCCTCTGAAGTGTACACACGACTATTGATGGTTTAATGAGATAGATTACAGTTACCACAAAGCACAGTGTTATTCCAATCAATATAAATATCATTTGTTCTCTCCCTGAAGACTTGATAATTGGTCT